ACTCTGTGATGTTTGTTATGCTCAATAAATAGATTATGTCTCTTTTCATAGCGAATGGATAGATCAGTTCTCTTGTGTATTATTAAAATTACTGATGGTATTCCGTTGATTTTTTTAAAATTAAATTTATCATGGTGACATTGGTTCACAAAATCGCACAGGTTTCAAGTGTACAAGTCAACAAAACATCACTTGCACAGTGCACAGTGTGCCCATTGCCCAAAGCAACGGCCCTTTCTGCCCTCATTTATCCTCCTTTGCCCTCTTCCACCCTCCCCACCCCCTACCCTCTGGCTATCACCACGTTGTTGTCTGTGTCTATGTGTTATATATATAATGCTCTAATGTGCTTTTTACATGTATCATTTGTATGTCATTTTGTAATCAGACAACCAAGGGATCTGGGCTGCCTGTCCCTCCTTCAGCCAACCAAGCAGAGGCAGGGTTGAGTCATATATGAGCATTTATTCCAATAATGGGAGAGCAGTAGGTTATCCACAAAAATCTGCTCTCTATCCACCATAATCTAACTGCTTATTTGGGTAGAAGGTCAAGAATGTGTGGGAAAGTAGGAGTTACAGGTATGAGAAAGTGGGTGTGGGGTAATCATTACAGGTTACAAGTCATGCACAGGGTGGGGGGTCACAGATAGGGGGTGCCCTGGGACCCCCAGGACCAGATTACAGGCAATAGAGGCTGGGGCTTGTAAAGAACAGGTGCCTCCAGGACTAGGTGCTATGAGGTTATAAATCTTTCCATGATGGTAGGCAATTCTCAGGAAAGGAAGATGGACTGCATTTCGATGTTAGCTCCCAGGTTCCAGAGCATACAACCTTCAGCGAGGTTATAATGTGCTTTCTCTAATCAGAATACAATAGAACATAGTTAACAGAGCATGATGAATAGTTCTTATGATAATCATTAATTTCTAATATTCTACTAGTATTTGTGCCCCTAACAACTTAATGCCAGAGCCCTAGCAGTCTCTTTTCATTTGAATATGCTTTCCTACTTCTATTCTTTGCTCAGATCTCTTTCTTTCTATGCAGATTTTCACTGCCTAGACAGTTGTTATTTTTATTTGATTTGTTTTTACAGTTTTTTTCTTGCTAGTGCTATATTACAGACTTTCCCCCTTTGCCATTCCTGCCATAGGGCTTTATAAAAAGACTGTCTTACTTTCACTTAAACTTCAATTTCCCACGTAACTTTAAGGTATACATTTTACTCCTCCCCGCCCCCCATCATTAATACATTACCATTTAATTCTCTCATTAGGCTGTCAATCTGTAAAACTCTTAAAGAAGAGAGGCCTTATTTTAAATAGGCCTGATACTTTGCTAAAGATTTTGGTGCACTTTCTACAATTCTGTTCTTGTCAAGAAAAATGCTTTTGAAATTTCAAGAAGAAATGAAATTAAGAAAAGCTATCAAACCAGGAAAGATTTAGGGAGGATAAAATAAAACAAACAAACAAAAAAGGCCGGGACCGGTTTGGCTCAATGGATAGAGCGTCGGCCTGCAGATTCAAGGGTTCTGGGTTCGATTCCAGTCAAGGGCATGTGCCTTGATTGTGGGCACATTCCTGGTGAGGAGTGTGCAGGAGGCAGCTGATCAATGTTTCTGTCTCATCGATGTTTCTGACTCTCTATCCCTCTCTCTTCCTCTCTGTAAAAAATCAATAAAACATTTTAAAAATAAATAAAACAAAAAAGGACAGAATTCACTAGAAAAATCTAGAGAATGTCCGTGCCTTATTTAAAACAACTAAGCATGTGATGAAGCATATCCTGAATGGCCAGAGTGAGGTTCTAGGCATGAAATTCTCCCTATGGGAAAATGCTAGTTGATGGTCCCTAAGCCAGGGTTCCTCCTGTCCCACTGTTAGTGGCCAGCAAATGAAACACTATTTATTAAATGTGAATTTCTAGGTTAAGGTCATAGAGATCGGGGTGCTGAGCCTCGGTACAAAAAGGCAAGGGAACATTTAAGTAACCATTCCCACAGAAATGCTATACACATGTTGGTACTGGGCAGTTTCTCCATTCTCAGTGGAGCTTAAGACGAGACAATGTGCCTGCAGTGCGGCAGGGGAGATTTACGTTAACATTCAAGCAGACTGTCGGTCTCTGTGCTCCTCGACTATGTTACTAAGCAGAGCAGGACTTGCCCCACAAACGGGGCTGGAGCGTTTTCCAAGATTCCAAGTCCTCAGGCAGGGTTTCCAGGGACGGCACTGCCACAGCCTCAGCTGTTCTCTGGGCCCACCTGACCTGATTCACTGAGAAAGCCTAGGGGATTCTATCGACTTCAGACTTGACATAAAAAGGTGGGAGGCAGCCATGGCAGGTCTTCCTGAAGATGGGGGCTCACATGTCCCCCTTTGCCTCACACCTGCACCGTGGCTACAGCACATGAAAAACGGCAGTTCGCTTTCTTTGCCAGACTGTAGAAAAAATGTGTATTTCTGCTTAAAACAGAATGCTTTTCAAGGCAAAGGGATGAAAAAGGTTAGAAAGGAAGTTTCTTATTGGGAATGGTTATATATTAATAGTCAGCAATGGTGTAGGGCTGCAGGAAATAAACTCCGTAAGCTGCTTCTGTGAAAAAACTTCAATCCACTGCTAGTTTTCACTTCAACGAAACTTTGACATATGTCCCTTGACCTTTACCAACTACCCTTTCACGTTTGACACTTAGCGTTTGCTGCCTGATTGCAATTCAGCGTTAATTAATTTCAACACTATCAGTTAAGTTATATTTAGCTGAGAACACTCACTTTTGTCTTTTGTGAGTAGCAGTGCGGTGTTATTACAGAGAGGTAGTCAGGAGGGCAACAGAGATACGAGAAGAATGATTCAGTGTGCGGATAATTGTTTCGAGTGAAATTTAGCTCGGTATTTTTGTTCCTGTCCTCAGTAGAACTGAGATTTAGCACCTCGGGTTGGCATTTAGCCCCCACCCCCACACAGGAGGAGGTTGTGCTGGGCGGGTGCTGAGAACGAGCCACACCAGAATTAAATTATAGCACAGCTCTAACACTGACGAGCTTTTTCTCTGGCCAGCTCCTGGGTGCAAAGCTGGTGACTCCAAAAGAGAGGCAAGGCATCCCTAGAAAGGATCTCCATATGGCATGGCATCACCCTCCAGGAGGGGGGCTGGCATGGCTGTTGTTTAAAGAGCATGTTGCCATGTTGCCCCAAAAGTGGTGACCACATCCTCCTTCAACCCCCCTCCCTCCCGCTTTCCCTCCCCCCGAAAAAAAAAAAAAGTGGTGGGAGCCTGGATAGCCATTGCAGAGTTACAGTTCTAAACTTAAAAAATCACCCATGAGATTATCTTTTTTTTCTTTTTTTTTTGGGGGGGGGGGGTGTTATTTCATAAGGGGACCAAAAAACCTTAATAGAAATGGATAAAAAACAAACAACAAAAACACACAAGATATTTGACCTCTTTTTCTGAGTTTTCCAAGCAGGAAAACATTTTTACTAGTGTATGCATCGCATGCTCTTTTGCTTTGCGAGAAGATTATATAGGAATATGGATATGCTTCAAAATAGTATAAAACCACTACAACTTGCCATCCTGGTTGTGCTAAGGATTTGAGTAGCTCTGGTTCAGTTAGCATGACGTTGTGGTCCACTAGTTTACTGTGCCGCTGAGCTATGTCCGTTAGGTCCATGGACGGCACAGGAAGAGAGAGATCTCCACCTGGTAGACAGTGCAGGTGAAACGCTGACAGCGTTAGCCACTCATATCTGTTTCCCTGGAGATGCAGTAATAGTAACAGTAAATTGAATTTTTGGGTGTTCTTTGAGACAGTATTACCAGATAGCCTTCAGTTGTTAAACACACACACAAAAAAGTAATTTTATAGCATTTTTATTTATGGGATTATAGAACATTTTGCCTCTAGTATTTCAACTTTTACATTTAGAATCACAGTCTATGCCCTCAACTCATCCTCTTCCTACAGTGGGAGGGCACCTGATCCCTGGAAGATTTTGTTTTCCTGCCCACTCCATAGGAAAGAACTGCAGCCTCTATATGCCAAGGATCTTAGTAGCTCTGGTTCAGAGGTCAAGCAATTCAGCATCAAGTCAGATTTCTGCTGGTTGGGCACTGTTAGATTGTCCCTGTTAGATAGTAACTGACCTTGATTCTTAACCCTGAGACCAAGTCACCTTGTGTTCTTGATGGGAGACTAATAAATATCCCTCTTGGTCCCAGTGCATGAGAATCTAATTGGCCCTCTAATATGAAGTCTCTGGCTTTTATTTATTTATTTTTTTCAGTTGTCTCTTCCTTCCCTCACCTGCCCCAAACTGACTGCAGGATAGTGGAATCTTAGTTATGAAGCCTAGTCTTATGATGAAGATCTCACTATCACTGAAAACATCTCTGGTTTCTATCTCTTGCTCAGGCCTCTGGCGTGGACCTACTCTGGGCTCCCCTGACAGCTGGCTTTCTGTTCATTGCTTGTCCATCAGCCCTGAATCTGTCCACTTCCAGAAGTCACTGGGCCTCTGGATACTCTGATTCACCTTTCAAACTGCACCGACTCCCCATACCTTCCACCAAATAAATCGCCACCCCAGGGGGCTCCTCTGCTCCAGGTCTGCTGCTTCCTGGTCTGTCGTGGAGTTGACCTTGGCCAAGTCCTGCTATGAAGCAGTGAAGGAAGAGGTGAAGCTTTACGATTTAGAGGATCAGACCTAGATGAAAGGGAAAAGATCTATGCCCTATATAGGAGCAAATAATATTTTTAAGAGTGGAAAGACTTTGAATCTAATTATTATTATTTTTTTTAGCTTCACTTGATAAAATATAAAATAGAAGCATTATTTTTGTATCAAATATTTACTTTCAAACAAAATTTCAGGTATCTCTTTTCTAATACCTTTTGTCAATGGAAGGAATTGGTGGCTTTCTGTATACCTTGAGATTGAAAATAATTTCATTTGTAATGTATTTTTTTCTCTCTCTTTTTACATTTTAAGGTGTTACACAACGGCCTCATTATGGAAATGAAACATCCAACTGTGGGGAAGATATCAGTCCCAGGTTTGAAAACTTTTATTTTTCTTAATGCCTTCCTTAATAAACTGTTCCCTGTGGTTATACCCCAAACCACTTGTCAAGACATTGTCCAAACTTTTTGTTTTTGATGAAAGTTAAGAGTCACACCCACAAGACTGCGTGCTGAGGCTATAGAATTGTCTTTGCTCTAACAAATGTCTAATTGTCTCACCGACAGCAAAATGCTTGTTTCACCTAGCTCCATTTTCTGTAATCATGTACTCACAAAGGTACATTGTGTAATTGCCAGCAGATAAGTAGCAATAGATATGGTAAATATTATGAAATTACATGCAGTTCATATGAGAATGAGAAAGGAAGCCAGGTTCAATAGAGGTGGTGTCCAGTGAAGGCTACTGACTGCTCGGGCCAGGGCATTTTTCTTTCTGAACTATGGTTTAGGGCTGTGGTCGGCAAACTCAGTAATCAACAGAGCCAAATATCAACAGTACAATGATTGAAATTCCTTTTGAGAGTCAAATTTTTTAAACTTAAACTTCTTTTAACACCATTTCTTCAAAATAGACTCGCCCAGGCCATGGTATTTATGGAAGAGCCACACTCAAGGGGCCAAAGAGACCCATGTGGCTTATGAGTCGCAGTTTGCCGACCACTGGTTTAGGATATCAATCTTAACTTTGTAGATCAAGAAACTAAATGTTTTTGGTAAACTCAGAATATATTAAAGTTTTGTAATTTGACTCAGACCAAACAAACTCAACCCAAGAATTTTGGCCAAAATGCCAACTTTATACTTCCGGGGGGAGTTCTTTTCCTTGTGACCAGGAACCTCCTTCCTAGTCTCAAAGCATCCAGGCTGTAGCAAAAGCTTATGATTAACCAGTTACCATACACAGGCTTCACTTCTCTAGTGATTGTAATATGACCATTCCTTGGGTCTACTCTGGGGATTGCTGGTAAAACATGCCACATTCTTCATTGTGTCCCTATTTTCCAGGCTATGTACAAACCATACACTCATTTTTTCCTCTTTTCTTCTGGAAGAGGATAGTGAACTTAGCTATGATATAACTTTGGTCATTGTTTTCCTGAAATTAAATCTAGGTTGCCTTGCTTGAAGTTTGAGTATTTCCCAAACTACTCAATCACCACAGTCAAATGGCATAAAGCATTTACTTCTACTGGTCTCAGGTCTCAGTTATTGAAGGACTGCATTGTTAATTTGATTCTAGGTATAATCTAGTTCTAAGATTTGGGATCAAGTTGGCAGTATTGTCTCAGAACAGATGAGATCATGGCCACTGGCACATATAAAGAAGTAAGAAGAGGGAATTATGATGAATAAATAATATTGAAAATATTTATAGAAAATTCTAATGCACATGAGTATAAGAAACATTATACGCAAGTTAAAAAAGGTAACTAAGAGAGAGAGCAGGTATAAGTATATTAGAGACTGAGATCATATGTTAATATGGAAATGACATATCAGGTAGAAAGGTAGTAGGGGAAAAGCATGTTAATAAAAGCTAAGCAAGTCTTTTATTCGTTGATATTACTGACCGTAAACTAGGTGCCAGGCAATGTTTTGGGTCCTCAGAATTAAAAAATAAACCAGATTCCTTGGCTCCTGGCCACATGGAGCTCATACTCAATGGAAATGCTGGCAAAAAAAGTTGCAATTGTTTCTTCTAATTTAGTGTATCCCAGTAAGGTGCCTCTCAAAGGATAAGATATATTAATACAAATAAAATTACAGTAAATAATTAAAAATTTCCTGTGGATTTCCCCTTTCATTTATTTTATTTACCTATGACAGTTTTGTCTTTCTTTATAAATGTTCCCTTTGGAGACCTTATGAATGTTGTAAAAATAACTTAGACTCTCCCACAATGCCTCATTGAAGTGAATCTGCCAAAACAGAAAAAGTGGGTAGAGTAAAAGGTGATTTTATGGTACATTGTTTGCTAGTTAGCCAGTGGAGACACATTTTGTATTCATTAAATGTAGTTTAGATTTGCATATACATGGGTGTGCAAAAATAGGTTTAGAGTTGTTTCCATGGGAAAATATATAACACAACAATAAATAATATAAGAACAAATTGTTTCACGTACTCACAACTGTAAATCTACTTTTGTCACCCCCTGTATATCTGCATCTTCACATTTACAGTAAAAAATCCTGTTAACATTACCACAACTACTTATTTATATTTCCTTTGTTATTAGTGAACCTGTACTGAAATTTTGACATATTGTACTAATTCACCTAAAGCATTATGTCTTAGTAGTTACTAGAAACCTGTCTCTTGAAGAAAGCAATAATTATTATGTAATTTTGATTGTACCTTTTTAGAGATGTATAAGTCCACAGCATTCCCTCAAATTCTCAAATTAGAGCTCCTGTGTACTCTTAATTGATTAATACTTAAAAATATTGGTCAACCAAAGTTTCCCAACTATTGGGAAATTATTTGCCTCTTCAGAATTCCTGTTGCCCACTTAAGTAATTATTGTAAGCATTTAATACATTGTTACAGTATTTGCAATCAGTACCAATATTAAAATATACCATGTAATATGACCTAAAATATCTCCTTTATTAATTAACATATATTCCCCAATATACTTTTTATATCATTTTCCATCACTTCTAACACAATAAATAAGAAAGACATTTATTTTGCATATATACATGTCATAGTTAAAGCATGCAATCTAGTTAAAGCTCATGAATTATCTCTAAATATGAGTTGTAGTTGTACTAATGCTAATGCTGTTCTTTATTTCACATACTGTTCATGACAGTACTCTCTCATTTGAGCTTTAAAGCCTATTTTACAGTTAAAGATAGAAAGGAACCAATAAAATATATTATTCCTGGGGGCATAAATGAGAAATTGTGAGTTTACTGAAAAGATCTTAACATCAGTTATATCAAAAGGACTGCCAGTTTCCACTGAGCCATTCACCCACCATTTGCACCCTCTTCTTGAAATACTGCTGCCCATTGGCCTTTAGACAGAGTGGAATGTGCTGTCTTTCCACATAGTGTGTAAGGGCCAAAACAGCCTCAGTCCTGAGTTCCATACTTCGAAGACTATCATTGAAATAGAGTGTGCTGTGAGCTCAGTTCTGCCCCACAGTCTTTGTCAGATGTTTCCCTGTGCACACATGAGTTGTGGTTACTTGACTCCAGCAGCATTGCTGGGAAGTATGGTAGTGATGAGTGTGTCAGTGCTGTGGCAAGGAAGCTGTCTTTCCTGCATAGAAAATGAGTTTCAAAGGAATTAACCTTGCCTGTGGCCACGCCCCACTCCCCTCCTCACCACCCCCCACCCCCGCCTGTTTTTCAGAAAGTAGCTCCAAGTGATTTTAAAAGAAACTTTTCATAAGTCTTTTCCCATAGGATTTTAATATTCATATTTGGAACCTGCAACAATTCTTAGCGAGTGGATGTGAGATGTGGGAAGAACAATCACCACTATGAATTAATGTAGCTCAAACCAGATTATTAGAGTATTGATGTTTGGATTTTATAGTGAATTTTGAAAAAAAGCTGAATGTTATTTGATTATCTGACATATTTTATTTCTGAATGTTTGGCAGTATATATAAAAGATGCTCTTTAACACCTTTCTTTTGTAAGCTCCTGGGAGAAAAGATGCTCTCATTTAACATCTAACCAACACCCTCTATACCAACTAAGTCCTTAGTAGATATTTTCTGGATGATGGTTAAAGTAAAAACCTTTAGATGAAAAATAATTTAAAAAGATAATCTGTGACTATTTTAAGCAATATGCATTTTTAATGAACTATCTGTAGAAGCTATCTGAAAGAGTCATTTCACTTCTTTAGTTTGTTTCCAGTTTGAAGTACATAAATAAAGTTACCACTTAGTCTCTTGCTTGCTTACAAATCTTCCTCTTCTAGGCTACATAAGACTTGAACTTGCCGTTAGTTTTAGCTTTTTTCCTTCCCTTCAGATAGAAAATTAGTTAGTGTGTTTGAAATCACATATTCTCAAAGTGCAGTTAAATTTCTATAATGGATAACAGCAATGGGGAACACTGTCAAAAGTCTCACTGGGAGAAAAGAAAAATTACGAGGAACCAAAGTTTCAGTTTACATCCCTCCTTAAAGTTTAAGTATGTGAGTTCTAAGAAGGAATTCGAAGGAAAACCAACTTGAGAGTAAAAGGTGGGATAACTTATTTCTTCCAGGTAGAGAAATCTCTCAGGTGACAACAGGAAGAGTGTAAAGTTTTCATGTTGGGCGTAGTGCATAATCTGTCTCCTAGAAAAAGCATACCCCTTCAGGGAGCAGGTTAAGCTGTAAAAAAGAGGAAAGAGATGAAAGGAAGGTTCTACAGTCTGTCAACAGAATGAGAGAAAACTGGCAGGGAAGTGAATTTTCAAATAGACTAGCCATGGTACTTCCCCAAGTCCTCAATTATTTTTAACTTTATTAAACCCTTAACCCAAGGCAAGGTACTGATTGTTAAATAAATCAGTGTATTCTCAGACGATTTGACACTGAGTGCCGTCAGCCTTCCCTGAAAGTCCCTTGTAGTGAGGCAGGAAAGTAGACATGGCTGCCTTTCAGTGAGAAATGAATAGCACAGTGACTTCCCTGCCTAGGAGAGCCGGAGGAAGCAGGAGGAGTGAATCACAGCCCCAGGAATGTCTTTCCATCAGGAACCTGAGAAGCCCTAAGAGCCAAGTTACTGTCGCTGATATGACTTAGGAACCTTCATCAACTATGCTTCTCTGTGCCATAAGGAAGACATATTTTGTTAGACCAAGGCTTTCATTCTCAGGGAACTCATATCCTTATTAGTTGGGACTGGGAATGTGGCCAAGAACTCAGTTGTTCCTTTTCAACATACACTCATCAATCTAGACACTAAGATAAGTAAATTTGTCTAATAGACAAGAAACTCTTTTTGCATACCAGTCATACGTTATCAATGAAATTAGAGTAAGTTTTTAATATTAGGAAGTGGCACTTACGCTGAAGG